TGGCACAGATCTGTGAAGTGGGCCTGCACGGGACATTCTCGTGGCTCTGGGCCTCCAGGTGGCTTCATGGGTGGCACTGTTATGGGCTCCAGGGCTTCAGCTGGACTCAAACAGTGCACTACTGTTGGACCAGGCCACACCCAACCAAGGCCACGTCCAGGCCACACCAGGAGTCTGGGCCACGCCCATTCTGGCTTCACTCCTTTCGGGTCCATACAGTTGTTCATGTGGGGCTCCTCTCCAAGCCACACCCTCCACGGCCAGGCCCTCCTCAAGGCCACGCCTTTCACAAGGCCACGCCCTCCTCAGGGCAGGCCCTTCCCTGGGGCCACGACCATCCAAGCCACACTCCGGGTGTTCTCTCAGGTTCCGCTCTTGGGGACTTGGGGAGTCCCCTCCCTCTGCACAAACTCCTCTTGGTGTTTGATCCTTTCAGGACCTCTGGATGGCAGCTTCTGGCAGCTTGGCAGAGCCAGGGCTCCAACCGGCAGGCCCAGGAGGGGCTGCACGGACGGAGCTAGGCACAAACTCGCTTCCAGCAGTGCGCGGCCCCAGGAGTGACAAGAGTCACTCACTCCTCTTGTAAAAGGGGACCCGGCCGCAGGGCGGGGTCATAGCAGCCTGGCCCACCTTTGTAGTAGGATTGCAACATGGGTCATAGAAGGGGCTCCGGGAGGGTGGGAGCGCTGCATGAGCCAGTTTTAGAGGAGCAGAGGGGAGGGAGGGGGTGGACGTGTCCCCAGGGCACAGGCTGGCCGCGTCTCCTCCACCCCTGTCCTTCTTCCTAGGCTCCCTGTCCAGGACTAAACTCTAGCCATCAGCTTCTGGTTGGCCTTGATCGGCCTCCATAGCTGTGCCTGGGTCAGGGTGGCAGAGAGAAGTCCTGGACTTGAAGTTCTGTCCTCAGGGCCAGAGTCACAGAGGGACAGATCACAGGGACAAGCCTGGGTGCATGACCCTGCGGGGGCAGGTGAGGTGCAGACACCGCAATTCTGCCTCTTCCCAGCGGGTCAGTTGTGTTCCTGGTGCTGTTTGGAGCAGTGTCCTTGCGCCCAGAGAGATAGCTCAGTGGAGTAAGTGCTTGCCTGGAGCAGTGTGCGTGTGCGTGTGCGTGTGCGTGTGCACACAATGCAGGTGGGGCACAACAGGCCCGCTCGTACCCACTGTGCACCTGCAGCCCCACCACGCTTTAGAGACACGATGCCCCGTGCCCAGGCGGGGCTTCTGTGGCTGGTCCAGCCTGCGTGTGCACACTTGGGGGAAAATTATGGCTTTCTCACCTATCACTGAAGTAGATATATTATTAAATATAAATCTTCAGCAAGTGTCTTCGGAAATCAAGTGCTGTGTTTATCTCTGCTTAATGAGGCTGTCAGTGTAACCTGTATTTATTGAGCCACAAGTAGGTTATAAAACTTCCATTAATGACTGGAAGTAACTGAGTTGTCATAAGCAAAGAAGAAATTAGCACTTGGCTCCGACCCAGCGGTGCTGATCCGCAGGGGTTCTAAGAGCTGCCGTCGGGTTCCAGCACTGCTCCTTCCAGCTCTGGGTGAGCATCTCAGTACGGCCACCCCTACGTGGCCGGGGCTGGTGGAGGCCGGGGATCCAGCCCCACGGGCAGGTCGGCCCCCGGGTCCTCCTCCCCACCCTCCCAGGACCCTTCCCCGGCAAGCCCTTCCCTGACTGGGCCCCAACAACTGCCCAAGCAAGGTGCGTTCCCCTGGGGTCCTGCTGGGGGGTCTGTGAAGCTCAGTGCCCCTCCCACACACTCCGGAAGTATTTCCTCTTAGAAAGAGATGAAGGGAAGTGGGGAGGAAAAGGAACTGGGACTGCGTGGGCACGTACGCCGGCTCCCAGCCACGAATGCCGTCATCACGCACTGCCCACAGTGACTGACAACAACACGATTTTAAAGAACAAGGAAAGGCGTGATGCTAGAAGCGATGGCTTCGCAAAGCTGCCCTGGAATCGTTAGCAGCAAGTACTGGGCAGTGTGTGGGTGAAGAAGCCATCGTGGCCTTTTCCTGGAGAGACGTTACCCCAATTCTGAGCTCCTACTCAGGCATCAAACTTAAGAACAGTGTAAGCCTCTTGCGTGTCTGCTGCGGCCTAGGCGCTGATACCTTCTGCATCGTGAAGTGATTGTCACAGCCAGGGGGCTGACCTGCCTATCTAAGGCACGTTTGATTCAATACCTTTCCGGCCAGTGGTGCTCGGGGCGGCAAAAGACTCTGTCTTGTCAGAGTCGCTGTCTGTGGCCAGTCGAGCGTTTCTGCCGCGCATCTCGCTGCCCGCCTCTGCATGACTCTGCCAAGCTAGGGCCGCAGCTTGTCTCTCCGAGCACCTCACCAGGGCCTGGAAGGGCGGGCGGCTCGGGAGCGATGCTCCGAACACCCACTTAGAAGTGCCGAGCCCAGGCCTTCCCTCTGCAAGCACTATACAAACGCACACTGTTGTCCCCTGTGAAATGACGCGTGCGGGACAGTGACCCTCCACAGAGGCTAATGTAGCTCTGAGGGCCATGCACGAGAAACCGCTCCACTGGTGGAGTCGGCTGCCGCCAGCGGTACCTGTGCCCAGGCCCCGTGCAGCCGGGGTCAGCAGGTCACAGGCGAGCTGGCAGCCTCCACATCAGCCATACGCTCTGCTGAGACATGTTATGAGCAGGAGCCCAGAGCCAGGCCGGGTGCCAGCTCCAGAGCCCTTGTCCCCGGGCACCATGCAGGTAGGGCACAGTGGAAGCACCCCTGAGATCCCAGGTCCCGATGCCAGCGCTGGCCAGGCTTGCCAGGCAGGCAGCTGGGCCTAGGCACTGGCTATTTTGAGGGGAGGGGCTGATGGCTTCTGTCCATGGTTACTGGTGTCAAGGGAGGTGCAGGTGGCAGAGGGCAGGAAGCAGGGCTCATCCCAGCAAGAAGAGATAAGGGAGGAGGTGGAGCTGGGGACAAGAATGCCCACCTCCAGGGAACAAGAATGCCCACCTCCAAGGAACATTCTTGGAACCACCTCAGCCAGACCTGCCTTCTAGCAACAGGCCTAAAGACTGGAGGAGCGCAGCACCCCGGGATCCAGTCAGCGTCCATGCCCTGGGGTCTGCGAGGAAGTCCCAGACCTAAAACTTAACAGATCCTGTGGGCCAGCCGAGGCAGCTCTCTGCTGCATGGCACAGTAGAAAATTGTACGCAGCATGGTGTTCTTGCTTAGGCGCAGGCCTGCCCCTTCTCTTCTGCAAGCCCGCTGAGGGCATCGCCTTCTCCCCACTCGCCCTAATACTGGAGCGGCTTCATTTGTTTTCTGCATTGTGCTAGCCAAGGGGTTGGCGGCCAGCACGCAGCCTTGTCCACCTGGAGGCAGACACAGCTAGTGCAAGCCGGGGGCACTTTGCTGGCTCCCCACCTGCTCCTCCCTCTTCCCAGTCACCTCAGGGTGCAGGCTTCCAAACTCTGCAGCTCTTCCCAAGAGAAAAGAAAATTAGAAAAATAGAAAAAGTAGGACCAACAAGATAGCTCAGCAGACTAATTGCCTACTTAGGCAAGTGCAGGGACCAGGGTTCAAGCCCCGGCACAGCAGGCTGCACCGGCCCCACCCCCAGGCACAAGAGCCAGTGACTAAGTCCCTGCAAGATTGCACACGCCTGTAATCCCAGCACCGGGAGGCTAAAAACAGGAGGATCGCTAGAGTCTAGCTGCGTACTGAGATCCTGTTCCAAACACATTAAAAAATAAAAAAGAAAGAAAGAAAAGAAAAATAGCATATCAGGGGTCACAGTCCCCCACATCTCAGCCAGTTTGTAAACCTGACTGCACAGCGTTGTGCTGACTTTCTACTGTAGGCTTCCACTGCCTCTGTGTCTTTTCATTTTAAGTGTTGTAGAGAAAGGTGAGGACCTACGGGGGGACCAGTTAACCTGGGCTTCTTCCTCTGGCAGGAAGCAGTGGCTGGTGTCCTGGAGAATGACTGGTATGCGCAGCATCTACCCTCTTCCCTAGAGAGAGGAAGAAAGAAGGAGGGATGGGAGGGGAGAGAAAGAGAGAGACAGAGACAGAGAGAGACAGAGAGAGAGACAGAGAGAGACAGGGACAGAAAGGAAGGAAGGAAGGAAGGCAGGGAGGGAGGGAGGGAGGGAGGGACAGAGTGGTGGAGAGGTAAAGGAAGGAAGGGACAGTGAGAAGTGGAGGTGGCAGCTGCAGCCCGTGATGCACTCCTCGCTTTGGTAGCCTTGCTTTCGCCCAGAGCGTGGACAGAGCGTGGGCAGCACCACACGGCGGCTGCACGGTGCTGTACTGCAGTGTGTGTGTGCTCAGCTCCTCAGGGCCAGCACCACACGTGTCCTTGGAAGCCAGAGCAGTGTCCTCACCCTCCTGCCTGGGATTTGAGTCCCGCTTCCATGTGTGTGAACTGTGTGGGACCCAGGCTCTCTGTTGGCCCCATGGCAATGCCGTGGTCCTGACCTTGTGAGCATCTATGAGCAGCAAGCAGGATGGCATTAGCTCAGGGTCTGAGGGCTGTTGGCATCTGGCACCTGTCCACACTCTTGGATCCACGCCCTGGGCTTGGGCATCTTGGCACCAGACGCTAGCTCCTGAAGGTTCATGGTGCCTGGCACAGAGGCGCCCCTCTCGAAGGTGCCTACACATTAGAAAGTCTGCTTTTGCATTTTAGCTTATTTCCTGTTTCTCTTTGATTTGCCCAGTGTAAGGGTTTTCAGGGAGCTCTTTGCTTTGTGCTTTAATTAACAGCATAAACTGGGACAAGGCCTCTGCACCTCTTCTGTAGCTACTGTTTTGTTTGCTCAAGGCTGGAGCCCTGCCCTGCTCCTGACTGAAAGGTGGAGATAAGCGGGAGAGAAGCACAGGCAGGTTGGAAAACGCCGGCAGAGCTGTGCGCGGGCTCCCAGCTGCGGGGCGACCTGCCCAAGGCGGTCCCGGAGTTCCCCTACCCAGCAGTGCCCCGAGGGCCCCGGAGCTGACTCAGACGTGTGCTTCCTGTCCCCACAGGGCTAAGGTGAAGAAAGGCGTGAGCATCGCTGGGGTGAGGGCCAGCAATCCCGCCGTGTGGGACATCAAGGAGAGCTCGGAGTCCTCCGGGAAGTACGCACCTGCTGTCATCGTGTGTCACAAGAAGGCTGCTGCCTCTGCCAACAGGTGAGTGGCACGGGCGGGCGCATCCACATCAGCAGCAGTGGCGGCCTTGTTGCCATCGTGGTTTGCATGTGGGGTGCGTCCTCTTTGTCAGCCGTGGCTGCAGCGGAGATGGATGGCAGCCCTGACTTGGGAGCCAGGAGTCATCATTCACCGGGGCCTGCCTTCAGCCTCAGCACGGCCGGGCCTGCCGGGCGCCGACGCTGGCGGATTTTGTCTAACACTGATGCTCTGCTTCAGCACAGCCTTGCTTCTACTCGTGTGTCTGGGTGAGCCAGGAAGTCTGGTTGTCACGCGTTGTGCAAGTGTTAGGACACACACAACCCGCGGTGGGGTGCGCCGGCGGTGCGGTGTGCTCGGGCAGGGGGCTTTCCGAGGGAACAGTGCGCTGTCCGCCGTGGAGTTGCAGGGTCTGTGGCTCACTCCAGAGACAAATTAAAAGCAGAATCTGTCTCTGATATCCACCAAATTGGAGATGGTGGATTCACAGCGGGGCAAGGGACTTAGAAACTCAGCCATTCTTGATTTATTCTACTTTCCCAGAAGCTCATTTGTGGCTCTGGAGAATCTCGTCCGCTCACATATTTTGTCACTCGGGCTCGTGTTTGCTCTTTATATTACCGAGAATTTGCACAGTAATGGAAGCATGGGCCTACGCGTGTAGCACCACACTTGCAAGTGCGGTCTTCAACCTCACAGCCGGGGTTGGGAAAGTATTTTGATTTTCCATTATTTAATAAACACAGAGGTAATGAATCTCAGTTGATAGCTATTACTTTTTTTCTTGCTTCATTACCAAGGAGCATTTGAAACCAATTCGGGGATGATTTGATTTGCGTTCCCCTCTGCGCCCCGTGCTCAGGACCAGAGCGTGAGCGACTGGGTCCTGGGTAGAGCTGGTCTGCGCCGTTCTCCTGGGGCTGTGCTTTGACGAGTTCTGTATCTCAACGCCTCACCCAAAGAGCAGCTGAGAGGGAAGGAGGAGGTCTGTATTTGTGTTCTGCCCACAATGTTGATGATGGTGAGATTGGGTGACCCCGACGCTCTCACAGGAGTGGACTGACCCGACCCGACACATACCAGACATGCTGCATGGGTCATAAGGTGCCCTCTCAGAAAGAGCTTTTCAAATAGGTTGGACAGATGGATGGGCAGATAGAGGGATGGACAAACAGATGAATGGGGGGATGCATGGAAAATGGAAGATGGAT